TTTCAGAAGTTTATATTTCTTGAAAGAAAGATTGACGCTTGAGAGCGACGAAAAGTTGTTTTTTGGGATTCCCTTTTGGGACATATTAATGTTTTCTCAAAAACGGTTTTAGACTGTTAGGCATATCAAGGGGAGAAGCTGTTTTGAAAATAATAATATGGGTCAGACGTTGATGAAATGTTGGACATTTACAGAAAAACTTAATTCTTTTGATTTTAGAGTAAAAGCTATATTTGAACTGATTGGGGTTTCAAAGGACAGTTTTTTGTTTCTTTGAATTTTTCATAAAATATTCAATTTTTTAAAAATTATCTGGTCATCCTATCTATTCCTTTAAATCATTCTGGTCAATTTAATCGTGAGATTTCAAAGCATCCATATCCATTATAAAAAGGGAATTTGATACTAGCACATTGAAAATAGGAAGTTAAGGGGGAATTGGATCAAAGAGTTTAAATTGAATGACAAAAAATGTCGATATTGTTTTAAATTTTCTTATTTTTTTTGTTACTTGACGTGAGTGTCAAGGGATTCATCAAAGATACTTTGCTAGATTAAAAATATCTGGATTATTTCATGGAAATTTAAATGTCAATTTTCTTAGTGGGAGGATAAAGATTAAATTTGATTCTTTATATTTTTAAGCATTAAGAAGTAACTCCCTAAAATGTTAAGCAAGAAGTTTTTAACCGTGAAAACATGAAATTGACCCCTTTTTAAAATAGAAAAGGCTTTTATAAAAAAAAATAGGGTTCGGAAAACCACTAACTGATTATCTACAGTTATCAACTTTTAGATTATCTACACAAAATCTACAGTTATCTACAGTTAGTAAACTGTAGATAAATTTTTTGAATGAAGAAAATCCGTTAAAAAAATTTGCAAAGTTTTGTAAACAAACAATTTTTGGAGACTTTTTTAATAAATTTATGTATAGAATACACTTATTATATATTAAGAGAGCTCAAATGTCAACATTAGCTATTAAAAATCAACTTTTTGTTTATCGAATATTAATAACGGTTATATGAAATTCAAATATTGTTCACATGTTTGTAAACAAAAAAAATTTGCGAAAATTTCTTAATTTTCAATCAAATCACCACACAAACGCTTTTAAAATACTGAATGAAGCCTAATGTCACTTTATTTGAACTGTTACATGCTGTTGCAGTCCTGATTTGAGCATTTCAACTCTTTTTTCAGTAAATTAATAACGTTTTTTTCCACTTTGAAAAAATTATCTACAGTTACTTATCTACAGTTACAAATTGTAGATAACTGTAGATAAGTGTTACTAACTGTTAATAACTGTAGATTTCCGAACCCTAAAAAAAAATCGTAAATAATCCGAACCCTTGACACACTTTTTTTAACGACGTAAAAGGAAATTCCTATTGACTTTGAGTTTTTATAGCTAGAAATTCCTGTTTCCTGAGATATTTCCGGAAATTCCAGACCATGTAATTTTATTAAGCGAAACAAAAAATGAAAATCCAATGAGTAAGATGGAATTTTTGTCGCACGGGAATTTTTGTAGAGTTCTTTCGAATTTATTGTAATGTGAGTCATTTAATTTTTATTTCTGCAATTTTTAAAAGTCGTACTAAAATCGATCTTATGTCCAGTTGCTAAGAATTTAATGTCAAATTATTTTATTGCAATTCATCCAAATGCTCATTAAAATACACTTAAATATTAAGAAACTTTTACTTCCTTCATAATTTCGAGAATCATCACAGAAAATTTACCGCTTTATTTTACCATATAAGTAGCCCCTCAGACTATACATTCCGACTGCAAATGTCTATCGAATTCTATCCACATTATTGCTTATCTCCTTCAATTATCTTGAATACATTTTTCATTAGGGGCCATTAAGAGTCGATAAAGATTCATCACAATAAGTATTTGTACACATTATCGATTAATTTGCAATAATTAATACTGGAAAGGGAAGCTTAAAGATAAAATTGAGATTAATACCTTATTATTATGAGACAGAATGTATGTTGTTGTTGATCTTGCCATTGATATGTAGGGAATGGTCACGTTGCTGATAGTCAATAATTTCATTTAAGGAAAATTCTTAAAGAAGCAATGATGTGAATTTTTAGCAGAAAATCAGTAGAAATAAAGCTCAATGACTTAAAGAACTTTAAGAAGACAAAATTTCCCATCAGAAAATTGCATTTCTACAATCTCAACTACTAAACATAATGCTACATAATTCCCAAAGAAAATTATCCAAACGACAAAATTTTCAGTCGACGTCTTCTATCTTCTCTTCATCCACGAAAAGTAACAACAAAAGTAAATTGAAATTCCTAATGTTCAGTCCCTTAAGTAAATAGAAGAGAAAGAAAATAATCCAAAAATGTAGGTTAATAACATTAGCATGTAGACCTGTCTTACTTTAAAAAATTTATGATCATTCAAATCATATTTATTCTTGACTGGAGTGTACAATATTCTGTGAAGAGTAAGGAAAGTAAAAAGGAGGATTTACTGACACGGAAAAGCTTTAGACAGAAACATAAATTTGTGCTTTGACATAAATATTAAGAAGAAGTATTTTCAATATACGAAATATAAAATTTTTTTGGTCCAAAAAGGATGTCTATGAGTGTCTGGTGTAAAATTTGATACTACCAGGAACCAAGAGAATACTGATCAATGCCTGAAAGGAGTCTAAAGTGTTTTAGGTGTTTTCAATATTTTTTTAAATTTTAATAAACTTTTTAATGTTTTAATGTTACCCGAGCACCTAGACAAACATCTTTAAAATCCTTAGGATTAATGATTCGGACACATTCCTGATTCTTTTTACATAACGATTATTTCCCCAACATTCCATCGCATACCTTCACTCATTTCAATTTTTGTTTTTGATTCCCCCTTTTCAGTTTTCCATTTTATGTTCGCCCCGATGAGTCTTCATGTTTCAAAAGGAAAAAGTCTTATTTTCGTTTTAGGAATGAAAAGTTTCGACCAAAAAAAATATTCTTCACAGAAGAAAACAAACTTTTCTTTTCTAAAAAAAATGATAAACAAGAAGAAATCGCGAAAGTCTGTCTAAAAAAGTTGAAGTCCATGACGATAAAATGATCAGAAAAAAATCTATGAAAAAATTTATTAAACGTACAAAATTTATTATAAATTAACTTCAATTTGAGTGTATTGCAGCAATAATGTTTGAAAGAGAGAAAATAAGATAATGGCAATTTAATTGGAAACGAGATATCAAAACTGTTCCTCCTACTACACAAAACAGCATTTTCATTTTCTTCTTCATCTCCTTTGTGTTGCTCTGTTTATGACCGTAAATTTTCATTTTCTTTCTTTTCTAAGTGTTTATCATCAATTCGTAATGGAACAAAAAAATGTTTTTCCTTTTCTTGATTCCGTTTTAATAATTTTTGTCTGACTTCTTTAAAAATGTTAAGCTTATTGTTGAAAAAATGTCGGAATATGACGAAGATTTAATCAAGTTTCAAAGTCTACTCACGCACAACTCATTAAATCTAAAATCTGATACGTCTTTTATAATTTGACATTCCCCACAACGCGGAATATCTTCACATCTACTCAAAAACTCATCTTTAAATATTTCATAAAACATTTCACAATAATGCGACATTAGTATCTTAATGAAACAGAGAATTAATGTTTCAAAATTCACATACATAAAAATATGTCTCATAAATAATTCCTGCTTATTAACCTTAATATGAAAATATTTATGAATTATTCTAATTGAACTCAAACGTAATGCGCTGCTCGTATCAAACAGCTTGTGATGATACAAAAAGCACTTGCTTGCGTATTTGATAATACATAAAGTCGTATAATGAGAAGTAATAAGAAGAAAATGAAAAAGAGAGAAAGGCACATACAAAAAGAAGAACTTTCGACGGGGATTAATGAATTTACGATCTAATTATACTGAACAGATATCTGAATTGAACCCTTGCAGAAATGTCATTTTTCTTTATGGCGATTAAAACATGATTTTTGAAATTATCATTGTGATAGACCCAAAAAATTGCAGCCTCAACTGGAAATTCAGACATCTGAATTTAAGATTGTTTTTAAAAAAATTCAAAATTTCTTTAATTTGCTAGAGTTTTTTGAGAAAACCAGCAACGGTTAATTTTAAAAATCCCTAAATTATAAAATCAAGTTCCATAAATGCAGTAGATTTCCAATTCCCAGCAACCTGACCTTTAGTCATTAAAAAGTCTTTTTCATTTAAAGAAAAATCACCCAAAATTCACACTAAGGGTAGCACTGCTAAATATCTATTTTAAGCGTTGCCAATCGATTCTCAAATTATTGATGATAAATTACTTAAATTTGAAAATTCATTAGCCAAACTTTAATAACCTAATAAAATTCAATTAATGTTGTAATATTTCATCGAATCGTGGCATCTTTGTTTAAACATTAAGAACTTTAATAGCTGTAAATAATTTCCTGACAAAATCCATTCAAGGAAGGAAAATAGAAACCATGCAATTTTCACTCGACTTCATCTTCTTCCTACATTCTTTTCATTCTCCTTTCATTTACATTTTTTATTTATTTATTTCTTAAATGCTCTTCTTTACTATCAAGTAAGACGACGGACAGACATAGTTTTTTTTGTATGTGTATACAACAGTGAAGTGGAAACAGAAATGCATGAAAAATAATAAAGAAAACATAAATTTTCCTTTACAAATCCGTTCAGTTTTGTTAGTGTGTATGTAACTAAGAATAGAAACAAGCAAGATAAACCTGCAGAATAAGAAATACACAGCGTGCAAAAAAAAGACTTGTCATCTCCAATTTGTTTTGCCTTAAATTCAGCACAGTTTGAAATAAATCTTATTTTGTAGTTGAAAAACATTTGGAGGGTAAAAAATGCAATAAAAACATGAAAATTCAATATTTTAGAATTTGACAAGATAACAACAGAAATATATTAGTGAAAAGTGTGAAAAATAATATCCAATGTGATTGTGAATAGGACAAAAATAATAAATAAGATGTCATCAATTTTTAGGAGTGAAACGTGCCGCAACAATTTTAAATTATTGCATGTTGATGGTCTGCACTCATTCGCCTTATGTAAGATTAAAATCTTTTTTTTATTATTTCCTCTATTCCATTTAAATATCTTCTTAATTGCCCTTAGCATTAAGAAAATCTCTAAATTAATGTGGCATTTGGCCATCATAATTCTTGATATGCTGATGCTGTGTGCTTGTAATATGTAAATAAAAACGTTCACAACCGGCATGTGCTCACGTTTTAATTTGCTATAAAAATACATTTTATTTAATTTTAAATGAAATATGAATAGGGACTAATTTGAGTAGCATGATTTGTGTCTGTGAAGTACTCGGGAGCAAGTTGTCAGGGAGCGATGAAAATTGGCCTGAATTACGTTCATTTACGTCCCGCATTTAAATATTTTCGTCCTACTTCTTATAACTGGATATACCCTTTACAAGGTTTTAGGTATCTTTCCCACCAACAAGCAAACCAAACATTTCAAAAAGTAATCTCGATATGCACTGAAAATCTCGAGCTTATTGAGAACCCCTATCCAATACACCATAAAACATTTACCACAATTAAGCATACATGCGGATAGTAAAAAGTAATCGCCCATGTAGATTTCCCGTGCTCTAGGTCAATCATAATGAAGCTCTTGAAATGTACCTCAGCGATGATGATGATAATAAGTAACCAGAACAGCACGAAAAATAATTTTTTATGAATATATATTTTATTGCATCATTCAATCGTCATATTATTCACTTTTATCACTGCCGATGAAAATTTATTTTCCATTTCATATTAAGAGTACGTCAATTAGGAAGTGTAGAACTGCATAAGAAGAAGAGTTACTTCAAAAAAAAAACCAAAAGAAAAATTATGAGCAAGACGAAATATCCATAAAATAGTAATTTGTGTATCATTACTTTTTATTTTATATACATTGACTGCGGTACTTAAAGTCGAACACGTTTAATCGTCCAGCATACACAGATAGAAAGTTAGAGTGTGCTATTAACCCGTAGAGTGTGTAGATACATATATAATGGCATCATCATTCGCCAAACTGTGTGTGTAGAATTTTATTTTAGCATCAACAACCATATAAAATGTTTTCTTTACATTTTTTTTTTCATGAGGTTTAAAAATAGCGCAAATTGGAACAAGAAGTGAGAGTGAGAAGAAAATGCCTTAAAGTTGATGGGAAAATTTTTTTACGTTTTTTTTCTTTATTTTTTGTTTTTAACGAAAACAACATATCACAGAAAAAATGTTCCGTGTTCGTGTAAAAAATGGCATAATAATGGGAATTTTTTTTCGTACGTCCTTGATGTCATAATCTATCCAAAATCTTGACAACTTTAAATTTTCATACGTTATGATGAGTGGCACTTATACTTGATTATTAAAGCTATGTTGCTATAATTTTTAAGCTATTTTTAAAATTAATAATGAGTTTTTTTTTGGTGATTGATACTTAATAGCACAAAGTTGATTTTAATGCACAGAAGTTCTGGTCCTGGTTCTATTCTGGTATTTTAATTTAAACTAGAATGTCATTTGTTTTTAAAAATATGTTGCTGATTATTTTTGAATTCAAAATTAATGTATTTTCTTCAATTGAGGCTCTAACTCGAGAGTTTTAAAAATATACAAATTATTTTGATGGATAAGACCACCCAACTCATCCTGTCATCAATTACTAAGCAATACATTACAAGTAGATATTTGTCACAACTGTCATATGTCAAACTCAATTGATTCTAATTGAATACACAATAAGAGCCGGTTGCGTTCAAGATATTTTCAATTTCTTCCCGTTGTTTTGCACACTCTCGTCAATCTTGTTTCAATAATACAATTGTGAAGAGTAAGACGGTATATTGTTACAGTACAGATGCCAAAAATACTCTATTAAACGTTATTGATGAGCTCCACATGTTAGTTTTTTCTACACATATTATCGCGTGAATTATATACGCGACCTAAAACAGGTTTTTAAAGAACATATCAACATGTACCATTAAGAAAATAAAATAGAATTATTTGAAATGACTCTACTGAATTGGTTAAAAAAAGAATATAAATGAAGCAAATGTGTATGTGATTTATAAAAAAAAATAATTAGAGATACTTTCCGAATGAACGCACTTTTCTAGGAACAATTGAAGTATTAGTCATTAATTTTGTTGAAAATCATGTCTGGCATTTATTTTCCTTTGATTGGAAGTTTTAATTTCAAAACAAGGTCAAATAATTAGCACAGGTTCAAATGAGATTCAAAGCATTTGTAGAATTATAGGAGGTTTTATTGTGGATATTAACATTATTTAGAAATTATCTCTAAATTGGATTTGCGACCAATTCTGTTTAAACTTTTAAGATTTCACAAAATATTTCATAATTGGTTAATTGGGTATTTTTAAATAGTTCGGTTGAATTCAAGGGTGTGGAACTGATAATTAGATTTTAATCATTTTTGATCATTTTTGTTCATTTTCGTTCATTATGATCAATTCCACACCCTTGGTTGAATGAAGCAAAGTAAAGGTTTTTACGGAAAAAATAATCTCTTTTCAACTTCCTTCATGGTTAAAAAGAATTTTTTTAATAACCGAAGAAAACAATTTCCTGAAAAATTATTTCCATTTTAACATTTGATTTATCTTGAAATATATTGAATACCAAAGATTTAATTTTTTTGTTTTGCGTCTCATATACACAATTTTTAGAAAAATAATTTGAGTTCCAAAATTATCATAATCACTGTGACGCATCAACAGCATTTCGGCAAAATGATGATAAATCACAAAATCTACTAACCAGAGAATTGTATTGACTCATAATTTATTTACTCACGGGTAAACCCCGCTCAAAATATTTACTAATTACTGGAAGAACCAAGTATCTAAACAATCGACACACAGACGAAACAAAATGTCAGTGATGTTAAATATTTTTTTTTTTTGGTATTGGTCAACATACACAATATTTCTCAGTCGGGGATTGCCGTTGAACGAGACGATCTTGAACATTAAATCGTGAAAGAATTTATTACGTAAAATTTTGTAATGTTTTTTAAAAGAATTTTAATTGCAATAAAATAAGTAAATAAGTATCATGTCAAGTCCCTGAGTAATGTAATAACAAACATAAATGTTCTAATATAATTGAATTATGAAAAACGATTTATTTCAAACAGTGAGTGAGCGACAAACCGCGAGCGCGTAAGAAATTGAAATAGTAAAAAAGGAAAAAATAGAAAAACATTCGATTCTTTTTATTTACCTTACCATTCATTACTCATTAGTTTCAATTCAAGTGTTCACACGAGACGATCTTAAAAGACATAATTTAATTACATTTTTTTTAAATGTACTCATCTCTTTTTTTGTGCTCAAACAACGAGTGGATTTAAACATAAAAGAAGAGACTAGATGAGAGAAACAAAAAGAATAAAATAAAGTGAAGGATTTATTTACTCTGTTTATTTTTGAAAGTGTTGAAAAAAATCAAAATTTCAGACTAAATCATGAGTTTAAAAATTGTGAGTGTATTTGCAATAATTCTTAATTTTTATTTTTATTGAGAGGATGAGAAAATATGCTCGTCTGTTTAATTGGTTCGATAATTTAGTGTGAAAAATAAATTCTTAAGCATAGGAAAAAAAATTCACTGAGGCAAAATAATGACTGTGTAGAGCTGGTCAGTGTGGAGGAAAGTAATAATTTATTGATAAAAACTCACACTAAAAAGATGAAATAATACTGGTTTTTCAAATTTGGGAATAAGAAGGAAGCTACTAAGAATGAACGAATATATTAAATGGACAAGGTCATGGTCGTATAATATTTTTGAAAGGTTATTCTTTTCTTTTTGTATTATAAGAAGATATAATCTATTTCAAGATTTTTTTTTGCCAGAATTCTTCAATCTTCTTCGTTTATTTTAAAATCTATTAAAACCGGCACCTTCAATTCCTCATCAACATCAATGCTAGAGCATATAAAGATCAAAATTTCTTTAATTTCTTCATCAAAGTAGCTTAAATCAATCTTTCAAGACCGACCAATATGAAGCAACAAATCACTACCCAATCGATTGAACATCGACATCACTTTTCCTTCATAGCCATAATTAGTATAAAATTTATTGACAAATGAAAATCAAAGAGGCAAAGGTTCAATATCCATAAATTTGTTTAGTGAAATGAAAATGAAAACAGAATTTGTTTGATGTTGATTTCAACATAAATTTCATTCATTTAACTTTACGAGATTATGAGTCTATAGAAAAAAGAATATTTACGAGCTTTGAAGTGTGGAGGGTGTTTTGAAAGGTTCTTTAAAAAATAAAGATTAATAATCAAAAAATTAAAGATTGAAGTTTGTGGCAACACATCAGAAGTAAATTCAGGGTTTCAAGCTATATGTAAGTGGATCTTTGAATTGAGATATAAAGGAGTGTTTCGACATCATTTTACAACAACCCTTAATTGCCTATGTGCAAATTTGCCCATCCAAAACTACCGTGAATCCATTAAAGTGCAACAAATTTTGGTGTTTTTACCGCATTTTTACCTTTTTATGTTTGTGCATTAGCCGTGAAATTAAAAAATCCATTTTGAGTTTGTGCTATTTTACAACAATGCCATTAATTTTCTTTCTAATCAAATGACACAAAAAATTGCCATTGTAATAAAAATAACATAATTTTCTTCAAATTCGATAATGTGAACTTAAATTGACACTATTTACATATGCATGCAGCACGTGATAAATATTTTATAAATGCAAATTGACTTCGACAAAAATGAAAAATGAACAAATAAATACAAAACTGCAGAAATATGAATAAAGTGCAATGGAAATAAATCAAGACGTGATACGTGATTAAATTTTATTATGCAAATGCACAAGCATATAAAAGGGAACAAGATAATCGTAAATGGCCTTTTAATGTTCTGTTATATTGGATTAAGAAATAAATAAAATGTTGTTGAAATCGTGAATTCAGAAAGGGGTGGACACTGTGGGATATGCTGTGTTAAATACCATTTTAACGGA